ATTCCATGCTGAGATTGGAATTAAGAGTTGCAGTAAACAAAAAAAAATTAATCATGGCGAAAGAAATGTTATTTGACAAAGTGTTGCGGCCACAACCGAGATTAGTTATTTCTTTCTTGTACTGCAAAAGCAAGTTATGAAGTCTAATTGTATTTTAAACAAATTAGTATTGTGATTATATTCACAAAGCAATTTACATCTTGTTATTTAGTTCAAGCACGCCAAGTAATGATATATTCTGATTTATCTCAGAATTGTGGGGGTGTATTAATATTTTTGTGTAATTATATACCAGCAAGAGAAAATTAAGTTTCCTTGGAATGTTTAAAATGTGAGGGTGCTTGGAGGATTGTACCAAAGTACGGTTCCGATTGTAGGTCCACAAAGAATCTCAACTCTTTTTATAGGACAAAGTTGGAGTATAAGTAAATATGGTTTAATTAACTCATAAGAACACCTCTATGTTTATTATTTAAATTTAAAAATAGGAGTGACATAGAGTAACGGTAAGTCTCAAAGTAATCAAAGACTTAATACTGTAAGATATTTGCTTTCAGTTATGAATATTGTCTAAGATAATATAATGGATCCACTAACTACTCCATGATATATAACTGAGAAGGTCAAATGAAAAATAGTGGTTGCTAAACAAAAGGTTTGACCAGAGAGCAAATGAGGAAAAGTTCATCGAGGGGAATGTGATTAAAGCCTATTACATCAGAGTCATCATAATGATAACCCTACTTAAATGACTAGAGATCCCAAGAACTAAGTCCAAAGGGAAAACTAAGTTATGAGTGGCTCGCCAGAAATCACTAAAGGAGTCTATCTCCTATCCATTCCTATGATAAGAGTGATATCTGCAACATTTGTTGTATGTAGGGGACTTAGGGTAAGCTATGCTTTTAATGATCACTTATATCTTGAAAACCCTAGAGGGGTATCTTTCAAGAGGAGTATTTAAGAGACTCGAAATAAGAATCACCTATATGAGTGTGAAGGGCTGCTTCTATGAGAATTGATAAGGCATAATTCTCTAAAGCACTCATGAAATACTAGGAGATGCCCAAGGCCAAAACGGGTACAACCGTGAGAACTAAACTGTGTCTGGAGATATTCTGTGTGAATTCTATTGTCTTGACTTACACAAACGGCTGAACAGTTCAAGGTATCACGTCCACTGATTAGCTAGCAAGTCCGATAGGCTTTCACTAGTGAAGATTCAAAGCCAAAAGCTACCTATCCCGATGTAGGGTATTTCCTTAATGTACTCTCTCTTTGTCTACATGTTGTTGCATGTCCTTTCTGTAAATTTCATTCATGTCAGGGATTGTTGAAAATTTTGAATTACAATTTACTTTAATGGTTGTGTCTCTTGAAATGAAATTGTGTGTCCTTTTGAAGGGTCACAACCTTTTTAAAGAGTTATAGAGGAATCTATATATTCTATCCCCCTCACTTCAAATTGAGATAGAGAATTGCAATTTCCTTATTCACTTTGCATTTATTCTACATATTTTCTAAGTCTAATTTTTCTATAAAGAGAGTACATGCACAGCGAAGTTCGCTAGGCTTGCAATAATAGTGCTGCTAGTGTGAGATATTGATCATTGTATCCTGAGAGATAGACGTCCATTGAATCCTAACCATCGGTGGGAAGACGAATCTGTCTTAAGAAAAGAGTGTCACACACTCGGACTCGATTGGCTTTATCTTTTTATGTACTGTAAGTTTTGTTATGTAATTTTGTCAATTTATTTCAATTTTGATTTTGCCCAAAAACCATTTACATAATTTTAAATTATATTTTCCAGATAGTTTGGTACTATTTTTCTAACAACATGTAGTCCCATAGAGTTGGGTTCCAGCTATGCTCCAAGACATAATAGACTGTTGTGACGTTAGGTTCATCCTGATTAATTTAAATTTTTATATGGATGATATACTCAATAAATTTTATTATATGAACAGTTCAGATTATCAAAAAAAAATCCGACATCAACTCCCATTACAAGTAATGGTGCAACTTGGGTGAGTTCGGACGGGTTGAGAGGTTGTTCAAGTCCAGCTCAAGTTGTGTTGAAACTTGTCTAGGCCTGCCCAAACCCGAATTGTAACTAAAGATTGTTTGTTCAAGCTTGACCCAAGTTAAACCCGAATTATCCAACTTGTTCGAATTGCACATAAATTTCTTTTTTTTTTTTTTGTGTGCATGCGCTGCTAAATTATTAATTTGTTAAAATTAGACTATATATATATATATTTTAAATATCATTAATAATATCAAAACAAATAATTTATATAATGTAAAGAGAGATTTTGAGTGAGTCTTTACATATTTAAATATATAATTTAAGTTTCGAGTTGTTTCGATTGTTTGATGTCTTTGTCTAAATTTGTCTAAATTTAATTCAAACTTCTAAATTTTTACTTAAATCTATACCGAATTTAAAAATATCTTATCTAAATCTTAAAAACATTCCAAATGATCAGCTCAAGTTACTTAGGTTAACCCCACTCAAATTACACTCTAATTACAAGTCGCAGCCGTACTCCAAGTCTTATTAACATGAATAATGCTTGGGACCCCCTTTTGGGGGTCACCCCCTCACCCCCCTTTGCCACGTGGCGGGTGGTGATTGGAGGAGCAGGAAAAAAAAGAAAAAGAAAAAGAAAATGTAACCAATGAGAGAGAGAGGGGGTCAAAGGGGGTGAGGGAAAAGGGGGGATGAATCATTGTTGTATTAACATAACAATTCTGCTAGGTACACCAAATAATACTCCCCCGAATGGCCCGAAATGAGGTGGATGGGTTTGGAGGACTGCTTGCCCCAGTTGCCCCAAAAGTCAGTGTGTTTCACGCGCTACAAAACCCAATTCAAAAACATGGCTGACACAATCTCTCTATCTCTCAAACGGCAATAGGAGCCAAGCCGAGTCGAGTTTTGTTAAACTCGAACTCGGCTCGTTTATTTATCGAGCTCATTTATTGAGTTTAAACTCGGTTCGATAAAGAACTGGAGTTGAGTTTAGCTAGACTCGTTAATATTAATAAAACTCGAGTTCGGCTTGATAATTTTTTTTAATATTATTTAATATATAAATAATGTATTTATACTATTATTTATATATTTATTAATGTATGTCCGTGTCTAAAGGTACGGAGAAAATAATATTGAGATAAATTTTTTCCTGTCAAATCTTTTATGTAATACATGAAAAAATTATTCACAAAATAATGTCGGGAGAAAATTGTTTTTTTTATAGCATCATTATTATTCTTATCCAAATTATCAATCTTTCTTGTTCTAATTGAAGAGGTTCGTCTCATTTGAACTTCGGCTCAAATTAAAAAATATATATGATTTCAGTGATTGGTAACCAAATTGATAATGTCCAACCGTGCAAAAAACAAAATTACACTTTAAATAATGTTATGTGCCCCCTAAGAAACATATAGTGCAATTTTGGCTTGTTCAAATTCAACTAAACAAAGTTCTTATCAAAAAGAAAAAAAAAAATCAACAAAACAAAGTTGATAAAAAAGAAAAAATGGTCTAATGGTTATCAAGGCCTTTCTTTTTGTTTTTGGGGTGAATAATCAAGGCCTTTCTTAGGCAGTGTGTATTGTGAGAAATCGGGAATTAACTTTATGACTTGGCCTTTAAATTTGTGTGTCACTTGTAAATTTTATGCATTCATATAAAATATCTTAAATCATAAACAAAAATAAAAAAAAATATGAAAAAAAACAAATGAAAGACAAACAAACAAATTTAAGTAGTAAAGTGGCAAACTCATTGACACGTAATTCGGAGGGACTCGGGCTAAGGATTTTGTGTGAACCACATTTTCCTTAACTTAATTGATAAAATGTGATAAAGACAATATAGTAATCATAATCATAACATTATTGATTTTACTAAGTTAGTTTAATTTTTTTTTAAATAAAAAAATTTAAAAAAAATTGAAAAACAAAACCATATACATCCTATCACAAATTAACATTACTTTATTATAAAATTTTATAATATTAATCACAAAATATGTAATATAATCACAAATTAATATAATAAAAATATCTTTACTAAGCCACAAATTTTTATAATATCAACTCTAAAATTTTAAATATTTTATTACATTAATTTGTAACAAAAATATATAATAAATGCATAATTAATATTATAAAATTTTGTGATACCAGTACACTAATTTATGATAGGATGAATTCCCATCCTCATTAGATTACCTCTTGATGGTACATACTACGGTTATGGCTTGTTTAGAGCACTGTATGTGGTTGTGAGTTGAATTTTTCTCAAATAGCATATATGTCAACGAGTCTAAACCGATTCGTAAATCGTTTAAAATCGAACCACAATCATTCTTAACTAAAAGTAAAAAGAAAATAAAATTTTTAAATTTTTAGTATAAATTGTTAATTTTTTAATTTTTTTAATAATTTTTAAATTTTTAAATTAAAATATTAAATTACCAAACCAGACCCTTTTCTCGTTGTTTGCTTGCGGCAGTTTACTCCGTAATACTTTCTCAATATGCGTGTCCCTGCTCCATATATGTTGATTGATATCATATGGCATCAATTTAGGATCACAACCATTTTCTTTTTACTGTTTATTTTTAATTTTTTATATAAAAAAATGACTTGATCTAAGAATTGTGAAACAATTATAACAATTCATTAATATTTTACATTTAGAAAAAATTATTACAAGCTTTTGAATAATGTAATAAAAATCTTTCATTATAATTTTAAAATGAAAAAAATCACAATTCAAAAAAATATAAACTTTACGCAACGACCGTTAATTGTTTCCTTCCAAATCAATTCCCTAATATATGTGAGTTTATTTAGGAATTAGTTTAAAAAATTAGTTTATTGAATAAAAAATTAGTTTAGAGAGGTTAGGGTTTTGTTCGGAAAGATGTAACTAAACATTTGCCTTCCGTTAAGAACAAAAAAAAAAAAAAAAACAAACAAACAAACACGAGTCACCAGTTCGACATTATTTGAATCTCATCCAGCATTACCCTAAATAGCCAAATACAACAAAGGCCAAACTTATGAAATCTAATCAACCCATGAGATAGGTTCACTGGTTGAATTGATTACAATTTAAATGTTAAGGTATTCAACATAACAGGTATTATAAACAGTTTTGGGCAAATGATCAAATATCATTTCTTATTTGGAATGCCAAACATTTACAAGAGGCCACACAAGCGAGGTCTTGAGCAGAACTGCCTTCCATTAGCTTTGACCAGTGCCATCATACCGGCGGTTACACCAGCGCAGATTATAGAAGACATAAAATGTTGTGCATTTTGTCCAGCTACAAAAGGAAAAATAAAAAATAAAAAAATTAACATAGAAAATCAAATAGAAAGAAAGATTGAACACCAAGAATCAACCGGCAATTTATGTGGCATGTACAAAGGAGGGGGTAGAGGGACTACAGTAAAATTATATAGAATTTCTGGGGCCAAATGAAAATTTCTTTTATAAATACTCAGTTGACTTATTCAAAATTTATACAAAGAGTCACATGATGGGGAAGATTAAGCTTCAACAAAATACAATGTTATAGTTTTGTTAGGTATACTACTGCTCCTCCCTTATTTTACAGCTATAATCTAGAATGGTTCGCATGGTTTGGTCATATTTAACCATTTGGACGCTTCAACACAAAGTCGGACATGAACATGACACGTTCTACAAGGTGTCCAAGCTTCATAGCTTCCAATTGTATTTAACATTAAGAACGATAGAAAAGAGTGGCATACCTTGGTTGAGTGTGACTGATGTTGCTGTCAATCCTCCAATTAACAGAGCTGATGCTACAGGGAGATACTGCAATTTTTACAGTTGATCCATTTCAATGTACTGAGGAATGGTAGAAAAAAACGACTAATTGTCCAATGAATTATCTACTATTTTAATACAGACTAATCATATTTACTAACTTCTGTAAATTTAAGGAAGAACCAAGCGTGAAAGTGAATAGAAGGACCTTGTTTTTGGGTGCTACAGATTTGAGACCCATCTTTTCCAGGACCTAAATCTCTTCAAAGAGCATCAGAATTCTACCCAAGTTATTTTATTTTATCTTCAATTTTTTCTTCTCATTTTTAATAAACCCAAATCATCATCAATTCAATTGAACTCATTAAGGTCTCCTCCTGAACTGAGTTGGTTATCATGAATTGTGATTTCTGACAACAATTCCATCAACATACTTGAGCCAATAAAAATTCATCTCATCAATATTATGATAATTATCTTACGAATCTAAGACCTTCATCTGATGATGCTATCCTAACTAGGATGCTGACACTCATGTCACCTTTGTAAGTAGCATAATTGTTCAAGAAGGCCAGGTAGTAGGATTTTGGCACTGGATTTATGTTTTAGAGGGTAATACCAAGCTAGGAAGGATGGCGGGCGTCGTAGGACGAGATGGTAGGACCTAAAAGGGGATAAACTAGAAATATTTAAGAATCGAATAGATAAGGAAAGTACTTGGGACTTAGAAGGTGATGCTAACACTATGTGGAACTCGATGGCCAATTGTATGAGGAGAATCTCAAGAGAAGTGTTTGGAGAGTCGAAAGGAACGGGACCCAGCTCTAGGGAAACTTGGTGGTGGAGGGAAGAGGTTCAAGTAGTAATTAAGGCAAAAAAAGAGTGTTTTAAAAAGTGGCAAAAGGATAGAACTGAGGAAAACCTTAAGGCCCCGTTTGTTTGGAGAGTTAGAGGGGGATTGAGATTGGTAGTGAGGTGGGACCCACTAATATTGTGTTTGTTTTGAGAGATGGGGAGGAGATTAATAGTGAGCTGCGGATTAGGATATGCCTCTCCAAGGGGATTCAGACGGGCCTCCAGGACTTGGTATTAGAAAAATAGTCCGGCGGACTAGAAATTTTTTATTTTATTTTTTACACGTCGGCCATTGTTTTTGAACATTAATGTTTAATTTTTTGTATTTTTTGTTAAGTAAAAATCATTATTTTATTTGTTTTATTTTTTTATGAAATTTTTTTATTTTATTTTTATTTTTTAAAATTTTTTTACATGTTGGGCATTTTTTTTAAAACATTAATGTTTAATGTTTTTGTATTTTTTTTATTTGTTTTATTATTTTATATAAAAATAATTTAACAATCCCTATACTAACAACTATCATCAAAACAAACACAATTTTACTTAGTTCCCTCACTATGAATCCCCTCACTAACAATTCCCTCACTATGAATTCCCTCACTATTAATCCCCTCCATTCTACCTTTGAAAACAAGCGGGGCCTAAGAGCTATAGATTGGCTAATAAAGAGGTCAAGAAAGTAGTGGGAGAGACTAAGTTGAAAGCTTATGATGACCTATACATTAGACTAAATAGTAAGGAGGGAGAGAAGAGGGTATACAAACTTGCTAAGATACGAGAGAGGAAAACAAGAGATTTTAATCAAGTAAAGTGCATCAAGAGTGAGGATTCTAAGGTATTGGTAAATGATGAAGGGAAGATGGAAGAATTATTTTGAGAAATTATTAAATGAGGAACATGGAGGAATGGCAATAAAGGAAGAAATAGCCAGTAATATGATAAACCAAGACTATAGGTTCTATCGCAGGATTAGGGACTTTGAAGTGGAGATTGCACTTAAGAAGATGAAATCAAATAAGGCTTTAGGACCCGATGATATCCTTATTGAAGGTTGGAAGTGTTTGGATAAAAAGGGAGTTGCTTGGTTGACTAGGTTGTTTAGCAAAATTTTGTTGACTAGGAACATGCCAGATGAGTGGAGGAAAAGTATTTTAGCGCCAATCTATAAGAATAAAGGTGATGTCCAAAATTGCAACAGCTATAGAGGAATCAAGCTAATGTGTCATATAATGAAAGTGTAGGAGAGGGTGATGGAACACTGATTGTGAGATATAACAGAGGTGTCAGAGAATCAATTTGTGTTTATGCCTGGTAGGTGAATGATGGAAGCAGTCTATCTTTTGAGGAGAGTAATAGAAAAGTATAAAGAAAAGAAAAGAGACATTCATATGGTGTTTATCGACCTTGAGAAAACATATGACAGAGTACCTCGGGATATAATATGGTGGGTGTTAGAGAAGAGAGGGGTGACAAAAGGTTACATTGACGTGATTAGGGACATGTATGAAGGGGTGGTGACCACTATTAGATCGCTAGTTGGAGAGACAAATGAATTTTCTATCACTGTAGGGTTACACCAAAGATCTACCTTAAGTCCTTATCTTTTTGCTTTAGTTATGGACGAGTTGACGAGAAATATTCAGGATAATGTGCCATGGTGTATGCTTTTTGCAGACGATATTGTGCTAGTGAATGAGACTAGAGAAGGAGTTAACACAAAGTTGGAAATTTAGAGAAAAACTTTTGAATCTAAGCAGAACTAAGACAGAGTACATGGAGTGTAAATTTAGTAACAATAACAATGAAAGCAGAGGAGAAGTGAAGATTGAGAACCAAGAACTGCCTAAGAGTGAACATTTTCGTTATTTAGGGTCGATTATCACAACAGCGGGAGAGATTGATGCAGATGTGGTCCATAGGATTAAGGCGGGATGGTATAAGTGGAGAAGTGCGTCTGGGATATTGTGCGATAAATGAATACCCACTAGACTAAAAGATAAGTTTTATAGAACAGCTATTAGACCAGCTATGTTGTATAGGATAGAGTGTTGGGCAACCAAGAAACAACATGTAGATAAGATGAGTGTGGTTGAGATGAGGATGCTAAGGTGGATGTGTGGTAAGACTAGACAAGACAGAATTAGGCATGAGTGTATTTGAGAATGGGTAGGAGTAGCACCGATAGAAGATAAGTTGAAAGAGAATCGATTGAGATGATTTGGTCATATTCAACGAAGACCAACAGAGGCAGCAGAGGCAGTAGTGAAGAGATGTGATACTATAACGGTAGATGGAAGTGTTAGGGGACGGAATAGGCCTAGATTAACGTTGACTAGCGTTATAAATAAAGATATGAATTTACTTAATTTGACTAATAAAATGGCCTTTGATAAGGCCGCGTGGAGAAGAAGGATTCATGTAGCCGACCACATTTGATGGAACTTAATAGGGCCGCGTGGAGAAAAAAGATTCATGTAACCGACCACATTTGATGGAACTTAAGACTTGGTTTGGTTTGGTTTAGTAGAAATGTTTTCTTTGTTCTAAATGACTGTAAATGGTATCAATGTGATTGTTTCCTTCTTTTCGAAGTAGATGGTTGAGATTACATACGTATCAAATCAAACATAAGATTCTTATAATATTGCTTACCGAGAACGATTCAAAACCATTTAGCTGGAAAGGACTGTTTCTGTGGACATTATATCGGCCACTTATAAGATCCATTGCATCCTGAAAATATATGAAATTCATATAATAAGCACACATTGAAATGCATTGGCTGTCTGTCATAGTAATTGAGAGTTATTTAATAGAAAAAATAGTTATTGGAAACTTGCCTGACGAAGACCATCATGAAAGTTATTTAAATAATATCTTGAAATTGCACTGATCCCGTCTTTAATTATCCCTGCCATAGTTTGTTTCCCATATCTGCAATGTTGCAGATAACCATACGTTACAAAAAGGGATAAATATGAGTTTAGATCAAGTAAAATCTCAGTTGAGAGATTTACCTAACAAGATCCCGTTTCAGTGCATGGGTCCCAGAATATTCAAGGCTTATCTCATCACCTTGATCCACCCACACTATCAGAAAGACAAAGTTCAGAAGAACGCATAAAAATGATAGCAAGGAGACTTTCCTACTCTTCAAAGATGGGAGAATAATTAACCATACAAGTTTTGAAAATTTCAAATTCTTCATTGAACATGGAAATGAACTCAGTGGAAGAAAGTACACCAAGCCTCTGCAGCTGTGAATTCAAAGATTTTTGAGCTAGGTAACTCTGTATCAAAACAAGACATGAACCACATATAATTATTAGCAGAATAAACCTCAACTCGATAAGTTCAACTATATTCGACAGTCAAAACAATTTAGGCAAAGAAATGCAGACTTGGTATTTTTGCAACAGACACTTGATCCCAATATCTATAATGCTTGAAGTGTTTATTTAATTTTGCATGCCATTATGAAAAATTATATTAATCACAGCATTTAATTCACCACCTCTGTGTGACGCAATAAACGCCATGTGTATAGGTGGGATCCATCATATTTAAAAAATGGGTTCATCATGCCATATGAGAAGCCACATAGCAAGTGAAAATTTTGGTGAAATTTTTAGGTGATATATGTAGCAGCCCTCGTTTGGAAAACGACCAGAAAAGTAGTGCATGTCCTCAAACCTGTGTAACATTTGTTCGGTCAAGGCAGTCAATGCAATTAGATCTAATAATTCCTTTCTGTTCTGCCAAGATCTTTCCTTCTCCATCCACAAGGAAGTATCTGCTCAGCTGAAATAGTAATGATTAAAAACAGAATTATGAAAAATCCACATACCTGGATTGTGACCATTTTATTCAAAGAAATCTATAAAATAAGAAAGCCATACTCTGGTTCTGTTAATTACCCTTGCTTTTCAAAATCCTCAGAGACTTGGTCATAGAGAATGTGTATATTATCAAGGTTTGAGTTGCCACAATACTGATGGAAATTGAATGAAATGTATCTGAATCAACAAAAAGCATAAATTATATTTCCTAATGTAGTTTAAATGCAGCTTACAAAAAAGCCCAAAAGAACAGATAATAGTTACTCACATCAGGTTGTGCCTTTTAATGTGTTGATGTCTCAACATAAAATACATTCCAATGTCATCAGAAACACATCATATGTAAAATCTAGTCCCAAAATCAGAAATTAAGTAGAAAGACATATCTCTTGTGCCCATGATACATCTCATTGTATGTAAAATATAACTTGTCGACATTTTAATAACATTACATCCAGATAAATTATTTGTGCAGATTACGGCATTCAATTTTCAGTGAGTGCCTAAGCAACACCTGCCAATATGAACATTCTCTGTTCAAAATTAAAGATTTTAAGCATAGTGATCTAGGAAAACATTCACAACTTGCAAGTAAATAGTGAACACAACAAGCTGTTTAGGGCTTTGTTTCTTTTCCTCTGTTTTTCTTCTAGGATGTGTGGAAAACATGCATTGAAATCATCATTCATTCTAAATTACATATAAACATGAAAAGAATATCACCTCACATTTGGAAGCTTTTCCAATTCAGCAGCAAATGCCATACTCAGTTTTCCCTCACCACCATGCTACAATAGTAAGATAAAGATAAAAATATTTGCAAAATGGGATAATATAAAACAATATTAAGCTTGCATAAAAATAGAAGTAAACTTATGTGCATAAATTCTAGTTTGGAATTCCAAAAAGTGGGCCAGTTGAGTATAATCGTTAACCCAGTTGGACAACGACATTGAAACTGATACAAAGTATGTTAAAAATTTTGCTACCATAACAAAAATTTTCGCAAATATTTAAACCACCATGAAGTGCTCTTGTATATACAAATAGATTTTTAAAAAATGAATCACATTCTTCTCGTTACCTCAATTTATTGAAACAATACCCTAGGTTAATGTTCTAGTGTTAGTGCTCTACAGTCTAGAAGAAAGAGAGAAAATCCACTTACTTGATCAGTTAGGTCAACTGCTACAGTCTCTCCATATTTTTGTAAAATATCACGAAAATGGCGCTCCACAACCTTTGACTAAAGGCAGAAAAATACAGTTAGATGCTCATCATTACACAACTCAGATACAATGAGCTACATCTATGAGAGAATACATACCTGTTGCTCATGATCAATAATATTCAGTTGTGGTTTATAGCTCAAGTCAACAATTTGCTCCCAAAGAAGTGGAATGGAACCTCGAATCTGAAAAGCAAATAAAGAACTAGCTGTTACACATTGGTATAAGACTCCAGATAAATTGAATATGCTTGAGCTTTATCATTTTTTTTCTCCCCTTTGCCCTGATTGGCACTCCAGAAGAAGCTTCTTACTGAACAAGCATAAGTGAATAGCATTGATTCTGATATGATTACTAGAACTTGTGAACAACCAGAAGTCTTAGCTGACATGCATTACCTCAAACAGTATATTAATTTAACTGAACACTAAGTTTTCATTTCTCAAGTATCTCAACTATAATTTGGGATAATTCCATCTGGACACAATAAGAAAACTAAGTGAGGTTGGTTTCTCCTGCCAAGTGGAACCTAGTGTCTTCTATCCAAGTGGAACATAGTACATATGTCTGTATCAGCTGAATAGACTTCTTTATCATGAAGGATTCCCGTCAAGAAGGTAACCAACACATTCCCAGTTTCATTTCTCACCAAGTGAAAGGAAGCAAGAAACTGTGCTAGTCCTGCAGAAACTGATCACAACGGGTGCCAGCTGCCTGCCATGAAACTAGCCCGTCATAATTGTATGCTATAATTGAAAAGATATTTATGTTTCAAAAAACAGATTGTCTCATGAAGAGTACCCTGCTCAGAACTGGACACAATAAAGCTTTTGGAAGTACATAGCATGATTCTCTCTAGCCTAAAGCCTACAGAAATGAAGTTAGAGAGCCTAATAGATGGAGAAAGCCAAAGTACATTCACATTCTTGCTGTCAATATTTATTGCGTCAGGGATGCATTTTCTTGCACACATACGAATACTCCCTCTGCACCACCATCATAGTCATCTGTTTAAAAAGTTCATCCTTCTGGAAGATGCAAATGCGGACACACTTGAGCTTTTAAGATTAGTTCTGCAACAATGCCCTGAGTTGCTTGGCCTAATTAAAGATGCATTCAAACCTTACAAATGCATAAATTTCTATGATGACTGTAATTACTGTGGTGAAATGGAAAAAATCCATGTCTTAAAGATTTTATATAGGGACAATCATTATGGGACATCCAAACAGAGAAAAGAGGGCACTCTTTGTGTGGTGTAGGGAGTATATACATTTAGGTAGAACAATGATGTCTATATATCCATTCAAAGAAAATAAACTAGGCAGATACATGAAAACATCTTGAGCTTTCTTTGCAAATTGAGGAATAGGACTCATCTGAAAACACATTCACCATTAAGGAGCACAAAATCAAAAAGGCACAAAGGTCTACCTTCATTCAATGGTAGTTCTTTAATATTTAGTTACTAGAGATTTACTGCAGCAATGATTCAGAGAGAAATGCCAGTGAACTAATACACTCCAAATATTGAGTTGAAAGTTATTAATTGGTACAAACAATCATTATCTAAACACATGTCCTATAGAAGTAATACCTGTAAAAATGACGACCTAAAGCCTTCAAACTCCAGCAATTGCTCGGTTTCAATAAAATTTGCAGTCTCTCCTTCAAGGTTAGCACCTCTTCTCCACATCCGAGTCCCTAAGTTCAATACCATAATCAGTTGCTAAAAAATTTTTAGACCATAGCCATATCAATAGGAACAAAAACAAACAGTTTCCATATTTCACTACCTAGGCGCCGCGTACACCTCCTAGAAATTAATGTAACTGTGGCAGGTGAATTCTTCAGCTTGAGCTGTCCAGCCTGAAAGCTTAACCCTTGGTTAAGTGAAAACACCTTTTTTTTTGGATCAGAATCTGAAGCTATTCTTGCATCTTTAATTACCCTTTGACATATGTGCACATGCATTCTCACACACACACACACACACACACACACACAGAGAAGTAAGCAATGAAAACTTGACAAGCTTCAGGATATTTCCTTGTAACAGAGGGATGATAAACCCATCAAGCTGTAAAAGAAAGAGAGAACATATTAGACATGGAATGCTTTAATAATCAAATTTCAGATGTTCTAATAGGCAATGTTTGATTCATATCTTAGAAGTACCACTCTTTTTTATTTTTATTTTATTGCAAAATTAATGCAATATTTGTTCCTAAGAAATAAAGGTACTTCCAAGTACTAACCAATGATGCTCTCCAGTTAAACAGAAGAAATGCCTAACCTTATTCTCAATAAGCTCCTCCAGAATATTTCTGTTCCAAACAAATCGGGGATCAGCCTGAAATACAAATAGAAATTTAGAACCCCAAATTATTCAGAAAATTTGTCCAATTATAGTTCCAACCTTAGAAAACAAGCAGTCACCTGTCAGCACTGAAAATAGGAAGAAGGTTAAATTTCTTCCAGCACATGGTTAACAATTCAATCTTCTTCGTGCCAAGGGGTTGCAGAGCTATTTGGGTAGTAAAACCTATATATTGGTGATGGCATGTCCAAAAGCACATCTACTTGTTCCCATGTCCAGAGAACAATCAAAGAGGGCAAGTGGACACTATGAAAGGGGAAGCGCACCACCAGTATAGTTCGAGTATAGAGTTCATAACACCATCAGGTTATTTTCTTCCCTTTTTCCCATTTAATCCCCTAGTTATTATGAAGTGGAGAAGTCTAGTCATGCAGGAAAACATAAAATTTATCCTGATGAGGTTTTACAGGGATATCTAGCATAACATTGCACACACAGATTTTATGGGAATATCTAACATCACAGTGCACACGTCGACAATATTCAATACCCTCTTACTGAGAGATCTAAGAACTTTGGGGTAATGTGCCAAATATTGAAGAATAAAGAGAAACTTAACTGTGATGAGCTTGAATTTTCTTGAACAAGATAATAGCTTCATCATACTGTCCGTTTGTCTTAAAAAGTAATCAGGCAACTTAGTCAACCTATATGCATAACTTGGCCCAGGGGGACTTCTTTTTTCTTTATGTGGAAGTGTAAGACATGCAATTTGGAAGCCACATTGACAATATTTATTAAATTCATTACATTTAAGTTCATCTAATTTTAAGTGAAATATTGTTGAAGAATCCCAATAAGCAGACAAACCTGCTTCCAAATTGCTTTACTCATCCACCCTTCAGCCAACTTCAATCTCCTCTGCAAGCTGGTAAATGTTATTCAGACATTAAATGAGAGATATACAAGCTGAAACTAAAGATAATAACTGGAGTATAGTACAAACCACAATCACATTAAGGAACATTTATTTAAAAGAGCAGACTAAATGTTAAAGTAACATACTTCAACGTTATATCTGTTTCATATGAATAATACAACCCTGGAGTTGATTCCACTATTTTTAATAGGGTTCTGAAGTAAGCCTCATCGCTTTTCTGCACGCGCACACACAAAAAAATTCATTACATTTTGGGCATAAGATTATAATTCCAGAGACCAAAAGAGAGAAAATCATACTTGATAGTTTGAAAGTGAAGACTCATTGCAGGACAAGAACTTCATAGACATCACACGAAAAACAGGGAAACCAAGATGACTTCCAACTTCTTTCCGAGAAGTTATCACCAGTACATATGTCCCTATGCCAAAATTAAAGAACACGTTTGAAACTAAACAACACAAGATATAAACATGATTTCTTACTGTTCATTTTTTCCGCCTGCAGTTTATCTTATAGTCCAATTAAGCTAATATCCAGGAAATTTCAGAAGTACCTCAATGCCTAAATTCAACAACACTACCTATAAAACCAATCTTGAGGTGTAGCTTTGGTAAAAGAATTTATCACTCTTGCACCTAATCCTCCTGTAGCCAATTTTTGTCAACATGCACAAGGAACCGGCTCTTGGATTTTCGTTCTGCAGCATAACCCAAATGAAGTGGTAGAGCTATTGAGTTCACATCTCTTCTCAATTCTATTAATTTTACGATTTAAACATTGGAGCCTGCTTGTATCCTCTTTCATAATCTTTGATGGATAGAAAGCTTCAACCAACACCTCCAGTTAATCCAATTCAGAAGATCAAAGTCCCTCAAAATATCAAAGCCTCTGTTTATGCTCTTCAAATGTCAACATTTGGGACAGTGTACAGAGGAGGAATTACAAAACCAATGACGTCCTTGTGTCCACAAGGTTTGAAACAAATCATAATCTGATATCTGTCCTAGCACTGTGAGATATCAAGTAATTTTCAGTCATTTTCTTAGATCAGCCAACACTAGTTGGATTCACTTGATTCCCATGATTAAATTCCTAGATTCTGGTGATCTTAACTATCAAATTGAGGAATTGTGAAGGATTGTTATCATTACTCGTTAAGTTCATGTCAAACTGAGGATGAATAATTTGTATGTGATGCAATGGTCTAAGGAATAACCAATCCAAACACAAATGAATATAAGCAATAGAGCTATTTGAACAAGATCGATAGTAAGTATTGGAACCTTTTGACAAATCAACAGATGGAAACCACTAGGTTAGTTAAAACTTTTGAACGACAAGTTTCTCATTTTTACTTGACAAAACCATATAGACAACAATCATGAAAAGTGCTTCCTGCCAAGTTAAAATTATCGATTTGTAAACGCATAAAAACCAAATGATTGTATACTTCTCCATTTCCAGCTGATTCACCTATCCACCTGCCTACGCACACACCAACAAACGTTCTGTGCAACAACCACACACTCATATTGGGTACTTAAAAAGTAATGCGTTCAGCAAGTACCTGCAAGTAACCTAATAGTTCCAGCCACCCCATATATTGTAGAAACTTTTGAACGATTCGCAGAAGTATCACCTGAGACAACTAATAAGACATTACATTCGGGCCACTAAATTTAACAGTCATTGATATTTAAACATCCGATTAGTTCTTATATGTGCCGAACGAGACAATTCTTGGGCAAGTGGTTTAACAGGAGAACTGATACGACATAATCAGCAATTGAGTTACAAAAATATATATATATGTAGATATATATCTTGTATGATGCTCTTTAATGAATTTATTTAACAAACTAAGATGTTAAACAATATTTATTTCAATGATTTTAATTACATTCAAGTACATTTCACTAACCTTCTCTATAAACTGACGTTTGCACATAGAAGTATAGAAAGAAACCTTTATATTCTATCAATGCTCATAATTCGAAGATAGAAAATACAAAAGATTCAAATCCTATCATTTTCTTTTCTTTTCCTGCTTTTTCTCATCAACCAAACAAATAAAATAAAAAAATAAAAAGCAAATTCAACATTTCGAAAAATGAAAAACACTAACTGTTCAGCGGCTCGATGTTGCCATTGGTTCGGCCGATGGAGAAGCATTGATCAGGCGATTCAACTGCTTTGAACACGAACTTGTCTTTGAATTCATGCAACTCCATTTCGCTCCATAGCTTGAAGTTGCCTGAATATTGTTGAATCTCCATTTCCTCACGAATCTCGATGGACAAATCAAAATCGAAACATTAAAAAAGAAAAGAAAAAAAGACCTAGAATGGTCGATCGACGAATCGATGATTGATTGATCAATAAAGAAAATGAGAAATGGCCGTACTTATCAACTCTGTTGCTTCAAAGCCTAACTTTCCAACCTTTTTAAAATACCGTTAATGACCCCCCACTGATTTGAAATAATCATAAATCATCATTAGATAATGATCACGTTTTAATTTGACCTTTTCTCAAAGATATTTTCGGATATTCCATCAAAAGAAGTAAAAGATATTTTCGGATGTAATCGTCTACATGCCGATCTATCATACTATCGCCACTTTCAGCCGTTGAGATCACAGTAGTTGAATCGTGGACCCACCGAATGGCAGATTCAGTTATAGGTATTTTTTTTTATATATATAATGAATAATTGACTTATCTTATCTTTTTTTTTATTATTAATCTTTAAAGTATAATAAATTACATCAAACATGTCTATTATTAGGGGAAAACTATCACACTTTTTTACTATTTTTTAAAAGTGACAACTTTCTTTTAATTTAAAAAAGGAAATTGAGAAAACTTTCCCTTTTTAAAAAAAAAAAAAAAAATTCTAACAATTTCATGGAAAAACTTATAAAATTATTATTATCTTTCTTTGGATAAATTATACTTTGCCACCTTTATGTTTAGCGCATTTCCTACTTTGATTCTTAAAGTTGATTTCTTCCACTGGAATCTTTTGTATTTCAAGTTTTTCTCAATTTACTCTTAAAATTAATTTTTATTAAAACTAGGTATGAAATGACTCGTGACAATTGCGTAGTATAAAAATATTTTATTATATATAATTCAATTTCGGACACAAACTCAAATATCAATATAATAATATATTTTTTATATTATGTGACAGTTATTGTGGTATTTTTTATTTAATTTTAAACAAAAATTAATTTTATGAATAAATTAAAAAAAATTGAAATATGAAGGGATAAAGTGGAAAAAAATAAAGGGGTAAAGTAGAAAAGTGACTAAACAAGGGAGCAAAGTGTAATTTACCCTTCTTTTTTTACTATTTCTGAATAGTAACAACTTTCTTTTAATTTAAAAAGGGAAATAGACAAAACTTTGTAATTATTTTTTGGTGTTCTAAAGTTTCCACTTAAATAAGTATGTTATTTGGGAGAGTTGAACACAAAATCACATGAGAGTAGTATGACAAATAACTAGCATGACATGACACATTTAACTTTTGTTTATATTTTGATAACAAAAATGTTTGAGACCTTTAAATGTAGAATTTTAGAAGTGGGACTCACTTTATGATTTGATATTTTGGCTTATGATGTTGCATGTTTTTCTTTAAGGTATTGCTACATCATTAGAGTCAGCATTAGAGCTCAAACTTTAGTGCTTTCTATCATTACTCATTTTGGTAAATATTTATCTTTATTACATTTTCTTTCAAACACAACATATAATTAATATATTTTACAAATATAAATATATTTATGTAATTATAAATTTATCTTAAAATTTTAAAAAAATTTAAATAAATGTATCTTCATTCTTATATTATTATTAAATAATCTTTAATATATTTATAAAATAATTATGACGCCACGGTTTAATTTTAGTTCAACCTAACAGTTAAACCGGTAATCCCTCCACCCGAACCCTTTTTCAGTTCACTCATTGGTCTAGTTTTTAAAACATTGCTCCCAAGTAAGCTAGATATACAAATTATATTTGGGATTAAAAAAAATAAAAAGAAATAAAAAATAACATTTTCATGTATGCTATTCCAGTTGTATTTGTTTGGAGGATAAAGTTATGAGAAAAATTACAGTAGTTCTACCATCCCAGACAAACATACTCAGAAACTATCCAAAATCTGTAATCAATGGTCAATATTGATTTATAGCATGATCGTACAATGACAAGATTAAATATAAAAGCCTGAATTTTTTTTTTGATTTTTTATCTGGGTACCCAAACTTTCTCATTGAATTATATACATCCTAACCAATCTCAAATCTCTTGTTTAGATGCAAATATTGGCGTTTGGATTGAGTCCCCCAAACTCTATCCCAAGAGAGACTTTTGAGTTCCATAGAGAATTAGTATACAAAATGAAGAGATTAAGATCCAAATTAGATACTAAAACACCAAAACACCCTCAAACTATGATCATTGCACTACGTAATTCATGTCAAGTGATTTTAAATAAACATAGATAGGAAAAAATTATGCTAATCCCTCCTTATTCAGAGGCATTCCAAACGTAAGATAAAAAATCTAATTCTAAAATTCGTAGTCTCATGTTATCTAATCCAACGAAATAAACATAATCTCAGAGAATATAGTCATCACAAAGTAGAGTCAGAGAATATAGTTATCACAAAGTAGAGAGAGAGAGAGAGCATGGACTAGTTCAAAGGATGGGTGGGAAAATTTGGTCCAGAACACCCAAATAAAAAGCAGACGATGGATTATGAACTATACTTTCTTCCATATCATCCCATTCTGTACTGTTCAAATCCATCAAAAGACAGGACTACTTGGGAAAGATCAAAAAGTAGTTCACATTACAATAACAGAGCCAAAACAAAACGAACAACACATACCAACTGGGATGCACAGAAACAACAACATTTCATTCAGACTTTCTCCCATCAACTCAAATAACTGAGTTTATACTCTGAATCAAATAAAAATCTCATTATCCAATCTTCATTCAATGCGGTTCCAAAGCCATCTACTTCTTCAATAAGCCAGTGAGCTCACCCTTCTCATACATCGATGACAAGATATCACACCCTCCAACCAACTCACCGTTAATGAAAACCTGCGGAAATGTAGGCCAATTGCTGTACTTCTTCAATGTCTCTCTCAATCCGTAATTATACTCTTCATCGAGCACATCTACACTCTCATAATCCACACCTTCGCCTTCAAGCATGCCGATAACCCTCTGCGAAAATCCGCACAATGGGGCACTTCTCGATCCCTTGATGAAGGCCACTACTTTGTTTTCCTTCACCAGCTGGTCAATGAGTTCTTCGAGTGGGACTGTGAGTTGGACGTGGCGGCCGGGTGTTAACCGCAAATCAGGCTTCTTCTTTGGTGGCTGCCGGACCCACGTGGTGTTTCCTGATTCGTTACCCGGGGGAACCTTTCCAGTGGATGCTATGTGTTCTTCCATCCATGATTTCCAGGCTTGGGTTAGAGTTGTTCTGTCTGGCTCATCTACTACGCCAACCTACACACAAATTTTAGTGATGAATGGCTATAGTGATATCTTAACTATTTAGAAAGGGAAAAAGAAATGTTGATAACTTTATATTCTAGTTATGAACATGTACACAACAGTAAAACATTTTACACCCTGATAAGTGGACAAATCTATGCATTTGAAAATCCAAGAATTGCATTCTGAGAATTCACCCGCTTCCATCATGCTAGCTGAACTGAGAGTGGTGCGGCTGCCAGATTTGTGGTTTTGGTATCAAAAAATGTAGGACATGACACTTGAGGGATACACCAAAAATATATAGTTATATATATTATGACATATATAAAGATAAAACAATTATTATATATCACAGATATAAATATTTTATTCAAATATATTAATTTTTGAAGTCTAAAGGAGAAAAACTGATATAAACCTATATTATCTTTATTTTATCATTGGATTTCAAATTATTTTATTCAAATTTATCATGTGTTTCAAGTGATAGATACATGTTTTTTCCGAGTGAAACATGTCCGAGTTTAGAAAGCTTTTAAAAATATTAGGAGATGTTTGGATGTGTGTTTGACAGGTATTGAGAAATGTCTGACAAGTGTCGCATTGTGTTGGTGTCTGACATGACATGCCACTTTTTAAAAAGTGTTTGTGCTTCTTAACTCTGACACATTCAACAACAAGGAACTCATTTGCATAGGGCTAATTGAGGCTCTAGAAGGTGAAAAATTGCACAGAATACAAGCAGAGCAGCTAATAATTCTTACACCAACATTCTTGTCATTGCCCTCCAATTCCATTTCTAACCATCCAACAATAATAGGCTACTAAGAAAGCACTAAGCATACTCCATATTGATTAAACAAACTCCCACCTATCTCACAATTTCTTTCAGCATTCCCTAGTCTGGTTCATCTAGGCCAGCCAAGAGCAGAATCAAGTTGCTTACAAGTTACAATCCAAGCTTTCCCTTCAATGTAACCAAACACACACCAGGAAAAACAAAAAAACAAAAAAAGAGAGAAGCAGCATCAGTTTTATGTATTCAACCTTAGATAGGTAACAAAAAAATTTGTTTCATGGGTCAAAATAATGCTTTAACAGTGTTTTTCTTGTAAACTTTTGTCTTCTTTTTTTTTTAATGTTTTAGGCATCATTGGCGATTCAGACTTTTTTAGCCCCGCGAGAAATCAACTTATTTTCCTCTTATTAAAACTTTTATCCACATGTTAAGTGGATATAACATTGCCTTAATGCTCCAGCTTATGTGATTTGGTTCGATCTCCTTTCCCCTCTTCCCCTCACACTAGACTCAAGTACAAATTTCCAACATCAAAAAACAACAATAATAAATCATGTTAACCCAAATGCTAAGTGGACTTCCATTTGCACCAAACACATCATTGGCAGAAAAAATTCAAAACAAAAACTACCAATTCTGAATATTCATTTTATTGTTATATAAGGTCAGTCATTACAGTAATTAGAATGCAATGATTCAAGTTTCAATTAAAGATAACAAGCAATGCAAACATTTTGCACGACGTGGTTTCAAACATCATATTAGGGCATCTCCAACCCATCTTGACTCAAAACTTAAATTTGATTAAAACGTCACCAAAATCCCTTCCACTCCTCCACCAAACCTATACCAAATTGAGTTTTACTCAAATTTTAATTCAAATCAATGGAGACCCATTTCATTTACTGAAATTTCTAACAAATTAAAACTTAAACACATAGGTGCTTCTATCCAAAATTTCCAAATTCACCTTTACTCCAACTCTTAGCATCCACTCAAACTTTGACACTTGACAATTTCACTCACATTTGAATTTTTCATCAAATCAAACTTTTTACTCAAACTCCAATCAATTTGAGTAAAACTACAAGTAAGGGAAAATCAAGGGCAATAGTAAAGTGAGGATAGGGCAAAAAAGATTACCTTGATGGAGCAACACAGCTCCGGCACCGATTTCCGGTGAGTTAAAACGCTTGCCGCAATGTTCCGAGATATTCCGACGAACTGTAGGACACCGTTCTCATCGTAAACAGCGTACACGCCGGAATCCGCCGGAAATTTGCCCTGAATTTCGTCAGATTCCGGCGGAACGCCGACCGAATCGGCCTCGGACAGCTTCTTGAGAGCCGAAACGACGGTGTTTAGAAAGCGAGGTTTGGTTAGGGTTCTGGGTCTGAGAGAGATGGTGGGAAAAGTTTGGGAGGGTTTGGGGTGAGAATAGAGTGAGAGGGTGAGGGTATTTTGGGGAGAATAAGAAGAGAGTAAGCGGAGAGAAGAAGAGGAGGCATTGTGTATAGGTGGTGATAGGTTGATTGTTGTCGCCATGGATGAGAGCTTGAGATTGAGAAGCACTTGAGGATGGAAGATGAGGAAGCTTGAGACCTGGTTGGGTGGTTCGGGTTTTGGATATTTTTGTTGTTTGGGTTTGGGATGGAAGAAAAATTCATAAAACCGAGTCCATCCATTAAAATCGATGGAAATTTTAATTTTTGATCTTTCATATCATACAATTTGTTTTGATTTTAAAATTTTTTATATTAATTTAAGGCCTAGTTTGGAAAGACTAAATAAGTGCACTTTTTGACTTTTTTTGTATTATGTGTAGAAAAAGTAGAGAGGAGATGTTGATTGATGTGACCCAAAAAAGATAAAAAGATGAAATAAGTGCACTTTTTCCTTTGTAGCCAAACTTGGCCTAAAAGTATTGTATGCCTTGAATCTATATTTTAAACATATGCCATTACAAAACAACATAGGTTGTCCATAACATAATTGGCAGATTCTTAAGAACATAGATTCAAGGAAAAATTAATCTATATCAAATTTTCAGTTATAAAAATCAAATATTCTCAACACTGACCGAATGAAACCATTTTACACCTCTAATTTGGGTGATGTGGTGTTGGGTGTTCGGGTTGTACGCCTTGCTAGTTGGTGCTACTGTCGGTTCTTACCCAACCCATTTTCAGAAAAATGGGCCAAATCTTCTGGGTTTAATTTATTTATTTATTTTATCCATATATGTTTTAAAACTTGGATCTTGCATAATGTTTTGTTTTCGTTACTAAAGGAGACTAATTCACTTGGCTATTTCTGTACATTTATATCTTTAAGGTTAAAGTCAACCAAGAAAGTCAAATGTCAATAAATTTTTTTTTTTTTAAACTTTTAAAAAGTAACATTTTACGCAAATTTTCAAACATTTTACTAATTTTTTTAATTTTAAAAAAAAAAAAGTCCAAATGCATTGTTATAACGGGGTTGTATTGAATTATTTTTTCTTCCTATCATGGTTTGTTTATTGTTATGGTTATTTTTTTGAGTTTGTTATTTCGCTTTCATCTTTATATGTTATTTAGTTATAATTATCTAGTTTGATAATTATTAGCATATTTATAATCAATCTTTTATCGATTAACTACACACAAAAAAATGTCATACAATAAAGTTAAGAGATAATTTGACCGATTTATAAGAACTTTCAAACAAACCATTTACTAAATATATGTCTCAATATAAAAACTCTTACGAAATTCTCTCTACAAAGTTATATTTTGCAAAGGATTTTTAAATGTAAGAAGTTATGCCAAACATGTATAAAAATCAATCACTTAACAAAATGAAAAATAAAAACTTTTATTAGATGCTATCATAAGCTTCTGTTGACCCACTACATGGACTGCTTGTTACAGCTTTTGAGAGTGATTATACCTTATTTTGATTTGAGAGTCTCGCCAGAATGTTTAGTGCAACTTCTTCTTATAGCTTATTAGAGTAATTCCAAGGAAAGAGGCATATTGATCCTGTTAGTTATTTTAGCTAATATCATCCAAATATTCTCCTCCAATGGACTGGCTAAATGGCTTCCTATTTTCCCTCGTGTCTTCTCCGTTGGCTTCAATTGGAGAGTGATTAAAGGCTCTCCAAACTCGTCTCTCCCGCGAAATTGATCTGGTCACGTCTCTCCCGCGAAATCGATCTACTTCTTCAATGCGAAATCGATCTGCTCCTTCAGCACAAAATCGATCTGCTCCTTCAGCGTTGTCTGCAACTCCCTCCATCTGACCTCTTCCTCAAGGTATGGATCCTTTTATCTCTCTGTCTTCCCCTTCTATGCAACTCATAAACCCTCTCTCTCCAAGAAAAGGAATCTGCAACCCTAGAGGCTCCAATTTGATTAAAAATTCCGTATTTAATCTCATATTTATGCCATATGGAGTATAAACAACTTGAATTCAATGGACATCTTCCTCTATGTAATGTAAAGCATCAAAGTTCAGACCAAAATTATGCATCTGAATTTAAAACAGTGCCAATATACTGTTTACACCTGTCTGAAGACCAACTTATCAAAGGCATCTGATTTAATGAAAGTAAAAAAACTCCTCACAATGGGGACTGAATGCCTTTCCTTGAATATAGATGATGTTTAGTTTATGAATTTTACTTTCAATGATCAGCAATCAGGACATAGAGATAAAATTAGTTTATGAATAAGGACTTGCAAATCATTGGTCAGCGATTTCAATGTTTGTAGTTTATAAAATATAATCCCTTCAGTTTATAATGGAATTGAAAGAAAAAAGAGAGAAAAAAAGAAAGGTATTTATTCGTTTAAAGGTGACAAATTAACAAAAGAGCTAGATGTTAGTGGATTTTTGTCTCTGTTTTGTTGCCACCTAGTTGGACACTTGTAATTAGTTCCATGTTTGGAAAAGAAAATCATGTAAGGAAAAAAATGAAGAGTTGTATCTTACCATTATATTCGGCGAAATAAAACTATGATAAAATCTAATGCTAATAGCACTCCTTAAATCAATTTGATTGTTCTGTGAAAAAGTTATTGCTAGTAGTTGAACTCCTCCATGACCCTATTTCCCTAATACATAATCCTAATTTGTAGTAAATGAAGATATTCGTTTTATTGTTGAATCAGTGGTCCTGAAGATTTAAGTAGTTGAATACTAATGTTGAAAATTTAATGATGAGTTTGTCCATAGAGATTAAAATATAAACTGCTACTCAGTAACCATGTTTAGCATTCAATGATAAGTCAAGCATCTTTGACGGTGAATTTCAAATTCAAGTGATAACTGGTTGTGCGTTATTAAAACACACATAATAAAACATTCATTTTGAAAAACTGCTAACCCGAGCACTTAATTTAGTTGTCAAGCATTTTCTTAGTGCCATACAATAGCTCTATGAGACTTGCAACAATATCACCCATAAATAGGTTTATGCGGGGGTTTGCTTTGTGGAAAGACCATAGATTAAGGGTCTAGAGGGTGTGCGAAATTTATGGCATTTGCAGATAAATAGGTCTGAATTGGCTTGATTAGTGGGTGACAGGTTGTTGGACTGGATGTTAAGAAAATTGGTTGCAAGATTATTTAGTTGCTAAATTAATGGTCAAAGAGTAAGAAAAAAGGTTAGGTTTGCCAAACTAGGACATTGGGATGAAAAACTAAAGAAATTAATTGTTGGTTGAGATGGTATAAAGAATAATTGTTAATCTCAGGGTGAAGAATTGGCTTTGCAAATTTGTCAAGGTACTAAACTTTGCTTGTGAATGATGATATGTTTTTATCATTGTATGGCATGTTAAGCCAATAAAAATCAGTTGAAGATGATGTCTTTATATATTCTGGCAATTTGACGTATGTGACATGTATATTGTGAAAATCTTGAAGGTTATATACCTTTTCTTTTGTTAACTTGCAACCGACACATACTAGAGAAAATGTACATTATTTTAACATCTGATAGACAGAAGGATCTAATAACCTTCTTTTGAATAAGTCATTTGTTTGTGAAGAAGGGTTGATTGTCATAATTTTCTTCACCTTGAATAATATATATGACCCATGATAGGAATTGTATAAACCAAATGACATATACAGTTGGTTGAGAGAAATTTGAGCACACGCATCATCATCTTTGTTTAAACTTGAAACATAGAAACTCATCATGAATGATGCACAGTAGCATATTTTTATTTTTCCTTCCTTTTTTTTTTTTTTTTTTTTTGAATTACTTATTTTTGGTTGGAAAACTTCCAGTAAAAAGATATGAAGTGTTATATTTATTGTTAAATACTGTTATTTCACTTTCTAAACGAACCTTTATCATGCAATCCAGAGATGTAGTTTATATTAGTTTTATATTAGTTTGGAAATTTATTTAAATTGTAAAAGGCATAATCGTGTGCTTTGTAGAGCCTCTCTGATCATATGAGATTGATGAATTACCTTTGCTTTATGTCAGAGAAGGAAAGATTTTCAGTTCTAAAATGTTTCACCAATTCCATGTAGGAGATTTTTTTTTATAGAGAACCTCCCTTTTAGGTCTAGTTGATGGCATTCTAGACCCCTGTTGGCTGCAAGATACTTCTCACTTCAGGCATGTAGTTTTTTGTGAAACAGTATTTGCCTAAGAAGTCTGAATGCTTTATTTTCCAACTTGTTCTATTGATTTTTTGTGAGATCTTATATTTGTGGCTTTGTCTTAATAATTAGGGGCTAGTGGCTATGTGTTTATAGGTAGTTTGGTTTTTAGCATTTCGATGTACCTCTAGTCTCTTAGTTTGGGTTTGTGCAAGAAATTTTGTTCATTCTACAGGTGTCTAGTCCCCACTAGTTCAATGGTTTGAGTATGTGACGCCAATATATTTTTTATTGTATTCGGTGACTGACACTGAAAGATTATGGTTAAGAGTGCAAGAAAGATGTCTGCATATGTAGCTTCGTTGGTATTGACTCCCATTATTGTAAGTGATCATGATTTCGTCTCTTATATGTGGTTGTAGACTAGAACTATGCTTAATTGAGATGCCCCATATGTTGCTGTGTAGTATCGAGTCCCATCAATTTATGTTTTTAATAGAATTCTGATTTTTACATATTGAAATATTTATAATGAAAATTAGCATTATAAAATGTTATGTCTGCACACTTGTGCATACTTAAATATGGCATGGTTATATTACATTTTTTAAGATGTAGGTGATTTTGTTGATTCATATTCTTATATATATCCACTACTCTCATTCAATTAGTGAGATAATTCCCATTAGTAAGGAAAAAATGCCTGAATTCATTTTTGTTGTAAGGTTTTCCTGTTTTTTGATAGAATGTTATGAAAGTAACATGGAGTGTATGTTAGTTTTATAATATATAGGCTTGATAGAATAAGCTTGGAGTGTATATTAGTTTTATAATATATAGGCTTGATAGAATGTTAGCAAAATTAGAGCTCTTGTTATATATCATTAGAGAGTTGGTTGCAACTATAATTGAATCATTTTTCATTGAATTTACATGATCTCTATTTATTTATCTGAAATTATCATTGAATCATTTTCAACAAAACAACTAGTGTTTTAATTTACATGATCGCCATTTATTAATTAATTTGCTTCCAACTGGGATTCTATTTC